GGGTCCGCCCCGCCTTTCCGGGTGGGATGGGGGAGCGTGCCCGGGGGGGCGGTCGAATCAAGCTTTGAGCGTTTGTATCGCGGTTTCCTTTCTGGTTCCACGGAGGAGGCCGGGGGAAAGGGTGTGGCTGGGCCGGTCGGCAGACTTCCTCTACCCCTTTCAGAATTGCTCGGGGTCCCCTTCTCCAAAACTCTGGCCGGGGTAGATGCTCAGCAGGTGAAGACTTAGGCCGGAGGCAGATCGTTACCGGTTGGATTTCGGCCTGCCAGACAAGGGTTCCGGGCCTCCAAGCGCTGCCCCGGAGAAAAGCGGATCCTTCGTTTGAACCGTGGGACAGGCAGAAGTTAGAGAGGTGGGGTCTCGTGGCTTATCTGCCTTCCCGTAAGATCCTTAGTGGATTTCTGCCTAGACAGCTAATTCCAGTGATCTGTTTGTTAAGTGTGGGTTGCCAAAGAATCACTGCTCCTGTGCTTCGGGGAGTGGTTTATTTGGTAGCTGCCAGCAATAAAAAGATCTGGAAATAATGCTGCTGGCTGATTTTTTGCAAAGTCAGCTCTGAAAGGTGGAGGAGGAGGAGGTCAGCTAGGAAACTGTTACAGATCCAGAAGCAGAACAGGACTAAGAATCCATCACAGCAAGGCATCTCAAATCCTGGGTTACAAAAGTTTTGCAGGCCAGTGGGTGAACCCCTCTGGACATCCTTCTTTAGCTTAAAAAAAGAAAAAACATTCTTGGGGGTTCCCACCATGCACTGAACGTGGCCAAGCTAAAACCCAGAGGGTGGCCAGTCCACCATCTGCTAATCCCGATTAGGGTTAACTTGAGTCCGTCACATGTTTGTCTGGCGGGAGGGGATCAATGGGCTGTGCAAACCCAGAGGGTAAGACCAAATGTCTTGCATGAATCCAGAAAGGTGGCTAATTCAGTAACCAGGAACTGTTGTGTGAATGCAACTGTGCAGTTACTGGGGATGGGAGAGCAATGTAGGTTTCTTCTGTGGCTTCAGGGGTTTAAGTTGCAAGGGCGGGACCAAACTTCTCATCCCACCCACACTCCAGGGCCTCTCATCTGCAGTTGCCAAGTTGTGTATGTGTGTGCGTGCGCACACATTGCCAAATGGGCTATATCTTTAAAAAAGAAAAAACTCAGCTCTCTCTGGCTCCAGCCGTCGGCTGACGTCTTTCCGCCTGACGTTTGGCCTTGTCTGGAAAAAATAATAAGTTCCCGCACAGGCCACTAGGGGGACACAGCAAGGGTGGTTCTGCAAGCCAAAGAACCACAGCCTCTGGGCATGGGCGGAGTGCCCTCACCCAATTCACAGGAGTGCCTCTCCCCTTTCTCCTGCGTATCCTCACCTTTGCTGCCAACCTGTTTGAAAAACCATCTGGAGGTTTAAAAGCAACGCTGTCCTAGGCTTGCACAATGCAACGAACGGGCATCGGAGTATGAACGGGATCCTTCCGTCCCTGAGCCAGAGGCCCAAAGGCCAATGGAACTCCCTTGGATCAGCATAGTCTATACTCCACGGAGCTTGGCTGCTTCTGAGCTGCTTCAGGATAATCCTGAGTGAGTCCAGATGCTACAGACATTCAGCTCCTCCTGTTATCCGGGATCCCTGGTTTCTGTAGATAATAAATCTCCCTTCCTATCTCGTGGGCCAGCCTGTCCTAAACTTTTTGGCACACGTCCCATGAGTGAACCTTTCCCAGGCCCTGAATTTTGTTTTTCCTTCCACACTGAATGACCACAAAATGATGAGATGGGGGGAAAGGATGTTTCACTCCACATTCCCATTTCCCTTTGGGGGGTCTGGCACCCCTCATTCTCAACCAGGCTGGGGACCATGGGAGCCGGAATCTGCCCACACCCAGGCTGTTTCACCCAGGCCCATCAAAGGGGTAAACCAAAGGGGTAACCCCCCCCCCCAAAATAATTCACAGCACCTCTGTCAAATGGGAAAGTGGATTGCTGGGGCGGGTGGCGGCGGAAGGCTTTGAAGATTAAAGCGTGTTTAAATCTGCCCTTTTTAACTTCTGTAGTCTTCCAAATATACCGGTGGCCCCACCGAAACCGAGCGCTGCATCGAATCACTACTGGCTGTTTTCCAGCGCTACGCTGGGAAGGAAGGGAGCAACTGCACTCTCTCCAAGAAGGAATTCAAAATTTTCATGGACACGGAGCTGGGATCTTTCACAAAGGTACAATTTAATCTATCTATCTATCTATCTATCTATCTATCTATCTATCTATCTATGAATGATGCAGCCGGGGAAGTTTTTAGGATTCAACCTGGGAATCGTCCTTTGTGGACATGGGCTCCCCTAGTGGTGAGACAAAGAACTGCAAACTGGGATAGCCGCTTAGGCAACTGAGACGGACGCCTAGCGCGTGTTTTTACTTGACTGTGGTCGGAACCAGGCGAGGGACGGATCAACCAGCAATTTCAAGAGACATTTTGGGTGCTGTTTCCAGGCAGGCCCAGTTTCCCATGAAAAATGCTGAGATTTTATCACTTGATGACTTGTGTGAAGGCCCGGTTACAGTATAGCAACGGAGCGTAGTCCAGGATGACGATATTTTCTTTTATCAACAGCTGGAACATTTGGCAGGGGAGGCATTTGCACCCTCAAGAAATCCATTTCGGGGGTCCAAAGAGGCCCAGCTGATCTCCCGTGATCTTTTTTTGTGCTTTGCAGAACCAGAAAGATCCAGGCGTCATTGACCGCATGATGAAGAAGCTGGACATGAACAGCGACGGGCAGCTGGACTTTTCTGAGTTCTTGAATCTGATCGGAGGACTGGCAGAGGCCTGCCACAAACACGCGATGTCCTCGCCCACCAGCGCGTGCCACAAGAAACCGTGAAGGCATCCGGGCCATTTCAAGCCACGTCGTCCGAAACATTCCAAAATCGGTGAATTCCGTAAGGTCCTGATCGAGAACGGTGTGCGACGTCCTTTACTTTTTTTTCTTTTTTAAATTTGAATAAAATCAAGAATAAAGCAGATGTCTGGTTGTCTGTGGACCAATTAGCAGGGCTACTCATTTCCAGCACCGGGGAAGTCAGCCTTGGAGAAAAGGAATCGTTCAGGAATGCCCCCTCCGAATCCCTACCCCCAAGGGCTCGGCTTTTGTTTTAAAAATAAAGTTTCTAGCCCTCTGTGTTTAGGGAAAGCGCAAAACGAGATTGCAGGTAGGATTCTAGCTTGCAGCCAGGGAGCGGATTGCTGTTCAGGCGTTCAAGAGGTCTAGTCCTGGTGGATTTTATTT